GTCATCACGATGACAAAAGTCTTCGGGGGTTAACACGAATGCCTCCTTGAGGGAATCCATTCGTGAGATGTAAGTCCCCAGCCTTACTACCTCCACGTTAAAGAGGTTCCCGTCATACCCCGCGCAAAAATGGCCTGACTGTGTACAACATGCTGTAGGGTACCTTGGAAAGGGTGGTATGAAAATTGTCCTGGCACTGGTCTGGTTAACATATCCCATGATTTTGTCAATAAATTAACGCAACCCCTTTCATCCCTTGGCGAAGTTGACTTAACCCCTTCAAAACCAACATCATCAGACCGATGCTCAGTACAAGAAAGGATTGAATCCTTGGACACGGGTAATGGCTCAGCATTGCCGCCTTTGGCCCCCCCCTCCCTGCCCATGACCTCAGACTCCCTCACAACTAAATCATCCCCTGCACAGTCACCAACCCCTTCACCCTGTACCTCACTGGGGCTGTCCAGCCTATCCAGCATCCCCTGGAAGTCCAGCATGTAGTCATCCATTCCAACCTCCTCCACCTCCATAGGAACAGGTTTGTTAGACATTTCTCTGAAAAATATAAGCATATATTTTCCGATTTTAATGTGTGCATTAGCACCATTAACTTTGTCGGAATTGTTTGCAACCCATTTATAATGGTTTGCGTCGTGTATTTTCAGCGTATTAAGCATGTTTCTGAGATTACCTATTAAGGTATCTATAGAGATTTTAAATTTATTTCGTCCTTGGTAGGACGCCACGGATTGTTCCAGATTATCCAAATACAAGAAGAGGCCAGTTTTTTTGTAGAAGTTTATATTGAAATGAGTCGTATTTAAGTTTGTTGCCTTTGTTTCAAAACATGGGCTGTTATTAGGTTTTAAATTACGTGGTTTGTCAGAATCATCCTCGGGGGAAGGACTCCGTACGAATATTATTGTGGACACTATTGATTTTTTTCCTCTAATTTGAAGTTGGCGAAGCTTGCGCTGCCGAATCTTTGACATTCCTTTTTTTAATTTGGAACAAAATGGCTGATTCAGCACGAATGGTAACATGATGGTATGGTTTGGTAATACCTGTGTTGCGGGAGTTGCAATTATTATACCCCGCCGCGGGGCGAAGATTACAATGAAACTATACATTGCAAGGAAGGAAAGATTAAGATGCATGTTCATATTCTACAAACAAGGGTTTACTAAGTTTTGCAGTGTGGTGAAAAATAAATTGCTTTAACTTGGAGGTATTGTAAAATCGTCCGGAGTTTCTTGTAGAGAATATGTAGTACATTACTATGAAACAAATGATGTTGGTATTTTCGATATTGAAAGTTAAAGGATTGTTACAACCTAGGAATATTACACTTTTAAGTTCTTCATGTGATAATGCTCCATTCGATATTATGATGTTGAGATCAAGAAGGATCCCGCTTATTTTGGGACAGTCCCAGAAGATATGAGAGATCGTTTCTCTCGGCGCAGGCCTAAGGTTTCCGAACTCGCACCGTTGACAGGTAGGGTCATGATTCTGAACAAAATGTGGGATCATTGCATTGTGATATAAAGTTTGTGCTGTAAAATTGAAAATGAAACTTCTCAAGTTGTTTCTTAACTTTGAAATTCTGAAAATCTTATAAAAGTTGCAATCTCTCTCAGGATCTACATTGTTATCGTGTGCAAGTGCAACACGCTTTCTCAGTCCATACTCAGAAACAACTACAGGCTTAAAGTTGTCGATAATACTCCTTATCTTAACACTACCCTTAACCATTTTTCTAATAAAGGTGAGGATTGGAGTACATACTTTATCTTTGTTCATAGCAAATTTTCTCATAACATTCCTATGTACTGATCTTAGGTAGAAAAATTCTAAAGGATTAGGACGGAAACCGAGATATAAGGCTACTCTATTTTCTGAGAAAACATCGCTGTTGAAAATGTCTACCAGGTTGACGAATCTCAGTTTCTTTATCAAGAGAACTGTTTCAGGTGTGAGATTTGCTCTGAAATGGTTCATGCCTAATTTCTCGCCGGATTCTAGTCGTGCAATGTCATTATCAAATATTCTCATGTCAAGGAAATTACCATTCGTCGACCAAAAGATGTTGCAGAATTTTCTTACACAAATTGACATTTCACCGCAAGGAGTGTTTGAAATTATTGCACTTTTAAAATGAAATGGAAAATCTGGTGATATTCTATATTGTTGAATTTCTTTAGCCCAAAAGTCGTTATTGTTAATCGATTTCCTAAAAAGACCCACTTTAATTGCATCTATGTATGATTCGGTTTCGATCATACCAAGGCCTCCATGCTGTATTGCGTTGTATACGACGTTTATACTTATTTTTGAGTTCCCCCGCACAAAAGAACCTATCTCGTTTCTGAGGGTTTGTATTTGAGTTTCATTGAAGGAAAGTACCGGGGCGAAAAAGCCAATTTGTGAGAGTAGGTATGTTTTTGCAATGTGTAAAATACCACGAGGTATTTAGCTGTATGTAAAATACCACGAGGTATTTACCTGTGTGTAAAATACCACGAAGTATTTAGCACTGTGTAAAATACCACGAGGTATTTAGCTGTGTGTAAAATACTACGAGGTATTTAGCTGTGTGTAAAATACCATGAGGTATTTAGCACTGTGTAAAATACCACAAGGTATTTAGCAGTGTGCAAAATACCACGAGGTATTTAGCAGTGTGTAAAGTACCACGAGGTATTTAGCAGTGTGTAAAATACCACAAGGTATTTAGCTGTGTGTAAAATATCTCGTGGTATTTTCTGTGTATATTACCACGAGGTATTTAGCTGTGTGTAAAATACCACGAGGTATTTAGCTGTGTGTAAAATACCACGAGGTATTTAGCAGTGTGTAAAATACCACGAGGTATTTAGCACTGTGTAAAATACCACAAGGTATTTAGCAGTGTGTAAAATACCACGAGGTATTTAGCAGTGTGTAAAATACCACGAGGTATTTAGCTGTGTGTAAAGTACCACCAGGTATTTAGCTGTGTGTAAAATACCACGAGGTATTTAGCACTGTGTAAAATACTACAAGGTATTAAGCACTGTGTAAAATACCACGAGGTATTTAACAGTGTGTAAAATACTACAAGGTATTTAGCATTGTGTAAAATACCACGAGGTATTTAGCACTGTGTAAAATACTACAAGGTATTTAGCACTGTGTAAAATACCATGAGGTATTTAGCAGTGTGTAAAATACCACTAGGTATTTAGCAGTGTGTAAAATACCATGAGGTATTTAGCACTGTGTAAAATACCACGAGGTATTTAGCAGTTTGTAAAATACCACGAGGTATTTAGCACTGTGTAAAATACCACGAGGTATTAGCACTGTGTAAAATACAATAAGGTATTTAGCTGTGTGTAAAATACCACGAGGTATTTAGCTCTGTGTAAAATACCACGAGGTATTTAACACTGTGTAAAATACCACGAGGTATTTAGCTGTGTGTAAAATACCACGAGGTATTTAGCTGTGTGTAAAATACCACGAGGTATTTAGCTGTGTGTAGGTATTTAGCTGTGTGTAAAATACCTGTAAAATACCACAAGGCGTTTAGCAGTGTGTAAAATACCACGAGGTATTTAGCTGTGTGTAAAATACCACGAGGTATTTAGTAGTATTTCCTTCCTAAAACTTTGAACTGTTGTAAAGTTTTAGTGAATTCCACAAGAAAAGTCTGCTAGAATTCCACTAGAAAAGTCTGGTAGAATTCCACAAGAAAAGTCTGCTAGAATTCCACTAGAAAAGTCTGCTAGAATTATAAAAGAAAAGTCTGCTAGAATTCCACTAGAAAAGTTTGCTAGAATTACACTAGAAAAGTCTGCTAGAATTACAAAAGAAAAGTCTGCTAGTATTCCACTACAAAAGTCTGCTAGAATTCCACTAAAAAAGTCTGCTAGAATTCCACTAAAAAAGTCTGCTAGAATTCCACTAAAAAAGTCTGCTAGAATTCCACTAGAAAAGTCTGCTAGAATTACACTAGACAATTCTGCTAGAATTCCACTAGAAAAGTCTGCTAGAATTTCACTTGAAAAGTCTGCTAGAATTCCACTAGAAAAGTCTGCTAGAATTACACAAGAAAAGTCTGCTAGAATTCCACTAGAAAAGTCTGCTAGAATTACCAAAGAAAAGTCTGCTAGAATTCCACTAGAAAAGTCTGCTAGTATTCCACTAGAAAAGTCTGCTAAAATTACACTAGAAAAGTCTGCTAGAATTAAAATCTTTATCTAATTGATAAGGAGGAAAATATTGTGGTTTTTTCTTGGTTGAAAGTGTTTAATTCTGTAGATTCCATATGTTTTCCTGCAGCAGAAATGCGCAAGTTAAACAAAATTGAAAATAATCAGTTTTTAGATTTACAAACAATTCACAATTGATCAGACAAAGCTTCTACTGTTGTGAATTGAGCATACCCATGTTCTCTAAATTACGCGTACTGTTCCTTTAAAAAGTATTTAATGTACGCGTACTGTCCCTTTAAAAACTATTTAATGTAGCGTACTGTCCCTTTAAAAACTATTTAATGTAGCGTACTGTCCCTTTAAAAAGTATATAATGTAGCGTACTGTTCCTTTAAAAAGTATTTAATGTACGCGTACTGTCCCTTTAAAAACTATTTAATGTAGCGTACTGTCCCTTTAAAAACTATTTAATGTAGCGTACTGTCCCTTTAAAAAGTATATAATGTAGCGTACTGTTCCTTTAAAAAAGTATTTAATGTACGCGTACTGTTCCTTTAAAAAGTATTTAATGTACGCGTACTGTTCCTTGAAAGAGTATTTAATGTAAGCGTACTGTCCCTTTAAAAAGTATTTAATGTAGCGTACTGTTCCTTTAAAAAGTATTTAATGTTGATAATTTTCTCCATTCTTTTAAAGGCGAATTTCGCGAGTCACGTATATTATGAATAAACCACAGAATCGTTTAGAGAAAACAATTCATTCTTTTATTTCAAGGGAATTTTATTAAATGGAGAATTTTACCTTTAAGTTTATCCTTGTTCATGAACAGTTGGAACAATTCCTCAGCTGAATTCAGCTTGATTGACATAGGTCGGTCAAATCCCATTTTCTCACCCATTGTTTATCTAAAAACATTTTCTTTTGTTTTTTGTCTTGTGAAATGTAAATCTCGGGATCAAGCATTGATCTCCATCTTATGCAGATCTAACATTAATGAAGGGATCCAGCATTGATCCTAAGATTTAAAAGAGCTCACATTGGATATCGAGATTAAGCGTTAAAAATTAACATTATCCACACAAAAGTTCGGATCTCAAGCCGGGTTTCTATCTTAACCCTATTCCGGCTGGGAGGAGGGGGGGGGGCTCTCCGGGACTTCCCCCCTTTAATTCCTTGGAGATAACTCAAAAAGTATTGATCTGAGGCCGTTTAAATCTTTTGACTTTTCTAACTAACCCATGCCCCTCACTTTAGGCTCAAAGCGGGGCTTTCATACCTTCTGCCTGAGTCCTCAGGCATACTACCTGAATGCTTTATTTTACCTGTACCCGACTAAATCTACATTTAGACCTACTTCCGGTCATTGGATTTCCACTTTTTATAGCTCTAATTGAAAAGCCTTAAACAAAAGGAGGCAGATTGCATAATTTGTTCGAAACAATTTTGCATAGATTTTTGCACAGATGCTTTTAAAGAGAATTTTCAGTTTTCCTTGAATACAAATATAGTTTTTGTAAACTATGCAAATATTTTTATAATTTATCATATTTTGCGCATTTTTTTTTTGCACATTTTTTGCTTAATAACTTGATATTGCAATTAATATTTAAGGTTTTGAAAATTTGCTATTTTTTTTTGCAGATCATTAAAGTGGAGCCCAAGGGCTTTCCAAATATGTATCTACTGTTATAGATTTGTATCACAATCAGCCATAACAGGGTTAAAATATTAAAATGAATGAACAAATGATGTGTTTGTTAAGAATCTAAACAATACGGGCAAAGTTCTGCTAACCAACAAATATAATAATTCAGTTTAAAAAAAAAGAAAAGAAAAAAAGAAAACTTAAAAAAATATGTTAAGCATTATTTCGTTACTGTTACTTGCCTAACCTAAAGTATAAGTGTTGTAATGTTAAATTTAAATTAGAATAAGTTCTTTTTTAACTGTGTAAGAGCCCCCCCCCCCGTCCTGTTTACAGAGTTTGCATGATTTACATTCATGATGGCTGAAAAATACATGTATATAAAGCCTTATAGGGATAGTAGGGATAATAGGGATAGTAGGGATAGTAGGGATAGTAGGGATAGTAGAGATAGTAGGGATAGTAGGGATAGTAGGGATAGTAGAGATAGTAGGGATAGTAGGGATAGTAGGGATAATAGGGATAGTAGGGATAGTAGGGATAGTAGGGATAGTAGGGATAGTAGGGATAGTAGGAAAATTTATTATTCATTGGTTTCCAAGATCAAAGATATTGAGTCTTTGCCAAAAACTTTGATTTTCCAATCCCTACATCTTTGCAACGCAATTTAAAAGACTTTCGATATTTCAAATCATAATTTCTGTTAGATCAAGTAATCTAAGATTGGTGATTTCAAAGGTTTGCTTCATCAGGTTGTAAAGATATATGTGATTAGAAAATTTGGATTTGCGGCAAAGACTTATTTTCTTTTTCTAAAAAACATTTGCTGACACCTAAAATGTAGAATATATTTGAATCATGTATATGGTCCCAGTTGAACTAAGCTTATCTGGAAAAGTTTCGTGTAAAATCATTATCTCTATAAGATTGCGCCACAGCAGAAAGATTTAAAAAAATAAAAACCACAATAATATTTTGCAATATCATACCTAGTGATAACCAAAAAACTCTGGAATGGGAAGTCAACTTTGAAACTCAAGTTATGACTTTTAATTTCGCTTTGAACATGAGACACAGCAATTGTGCAACGTAAATAGACCCATTTTACTTAAAGTTGAAAAATCAACTATATACAAATGTGGCGAAAGATAATCGATGACCATAGGGTGTAATATCTGAATGATTTGTTTGAAATTAAATAGATTTTGTACAGTCTAAGTCGTATGCTGCATCTTTCTGAATTTGTATGGATACTACGTTCTTCGGTATTAGTCGTTTCTAACAATTTTCTCCTTATAGACGCAACAGATAGAAGTAAGATTAGAAGCGATCAAAAGCGCTTTTTTATCGCATTAAGCCTATACCCCCTTTCACTTTTCGCGAACACTCCCTTTAATAAGTAATTTAAAAGCTTTTAACTGAAGCTATTTACGTTAAACAACATCAAATGCGCTTCAGAAATGCTAAAATGTCATCTTCCTTTTCCACAGTTTTCTGGTCATAACTGTAGTGCAAATTGTGACAAACGAAAAAGAAATGTTAGACTATGTTTCCTCTATGCATGTTGAGTGTAGTAGTTGAACTGTTGAAGCATTAAGTGCTTTATCTATCCAAGTATTCATGAAACTCAGGAAACAGAACAATTGTACTCTTTAACTCTCTCTGCAGGATACAGGGTGTCCCTGGAAACCAGGGAAAGTTTTTGTTTTGAATATTTAAATGAATATTTAATAATTAAATCAAATTATTGCTGCGTAATTAGATGTCGATTTTTGTCCATTGTTGTTTTTGGGGACATCCTGTATCACAACATTGAGACTGTTAAATACACATCTACATGTTATCTTCATATCAATAAACTAATAGCGTACTTTTTGAACCTTATATTCCTTTATCAACAAAAGAACAGTTAACATGCAAAAAAATGCAAGTGTACTTTTTGCTCTAAACTACTTTATTCATAATAAAACAAAATGTTTACTTTTACAATTATATATTTAGTTAACAGTACAATAAATGTATAACGTTATGCCAAACAGAATCATGACATGTACTTATTGAACTTTTTCGTCGTTTTAACAAAGAAAACATGTTTACTTTTAAATATTTTCATATTCAAAAAACGAAAATTGTTTACTATAAACTATGTGGTACATTGTTTGTAAATCTAACTACGTTATATCCCTAAACACGCAAAAACTTGTAAAGCGACTAAACCAACGAGGTTATAGTGTATAGAGTGATGATGTAAGCTAATCCTTTACTAATTCTATAGGCCATGAACTATACGGAGAGCGTACCGCATATTGTAAGTGTACAGTACAGCTAACTGAGCACACAGGTAGAGAACTATCATCCCCCCTGGACTAGACTAGCTATGTATTGTAAATAGCTTAAATATGATGATATATCTGCGTAATATCGTAAATACAAATAAGAACTTAGCATGTAATAAAAAGATATTTGTAAATACATCGGTTGATTGAGACTCTGCTTTGATTACGGTGTAATTTGGTCCTTATTGAAACATACAAGCTGAGATTGTGCCTTGAGATTTGGTATTGATTGATTAAGAGCTTGTTTGACAGCTACGCTTGTGTCAGCATTGACATTTAGAGCTGATGAGATCTTGCCTTGATATTTGGGATTGATCGACTAAGAGCTTGTTTGACAGCTAGGCTTGTGTCTGTATTGACATTTAGAGCCGATGAGATTGTGCCTTGATATTTGGTATTGATCGACTAAGAGCTTGTTTGACAGCTACGCTTGTGTCTGTATTGACATTTAGAGCCAATAAGATTGTGTCTTGATATTTGGTATTGATTGATTAAGAGCTTGTTTGACAGCTACGCTTGTGTCTGTATTGACATTTAGAGCCAATAAGATTGTGCCTTGATATTTGGGATTGATCGACTAAGAGCTTGTTTGACAGCTAAACTTGTGTCTGTATTGACATTAGAGCTGATGAGATCGTGCCTTGATATTTGGTATTGATCGACTAAGAGCTTGTTTGACAGCTACGCTTGTGTCTGTTTTGACATTTAGAGCCAATAAGATTGTGCCTTGATATTTGGTATTGATCGACTAAGAGCTTGTTTGACAGCTACGCTTGTGTCTGTATTGACATTTAGAGCTGATGAGATCGTGCCTTGATATTTGGTATTGATCGACTTAGAGCTTGTTTGACAGCTAAACTTGTGTCTGTTTTGACATTTAGAGCTGATGAGATCGTGCCTTGATATTTGGTATTGATTGACTAAGAGCTTGTTTGACAGCTACGCTTGTGTCTGTATTGACATTTAGAGCCAATAAGATTGTGTCCGTTGGTTTGACGTTGATCGCTGAAGAGTTTGTGTCTGGGTTGACATTTATAGCTAACGGGTTGTACCTGGACTGTCACAGTTCAAGATGAAGTTTTAAGAGTACAGCATTTACTACATCTTTAGTAAATAAACAGAACAAATATACTATTTTAAAACTGAATCAGAATGTGTACTTTTTGAACTTCATATCTTTCTTCATATTAACAACATTAAATTTGATATATAAAAACATTAACATTTGAAATGTACCTTGTATATTGTTAAAAAAATAATTGTACTCTCTCTATATTTTTAAGTTTCAAAACCAAATCAGAATATGTACTATTTTAACTTTAATTTTATTATCAAAAGAATAATTGTACTCTATACTCTAAAATATCAAAAATCAGAATATGTACTATCTAAAATATATCTTTATATGATAAAAAAAATTGTACTCTCTACTCTTAAGTATTAAAACAAAATTAGAATATGTTCTATTTAAAATATATCTGTATATTATTGATTTATAACTGTATCCTCACTCCTAAGCAAGGTTATAATGCAAGGAAATTAATTGCAGTTGCGTATACTCTGAGAAAATATTGAATTCAGTTCTCTCTGGGCAGAATTTGAAAACAAGAATAGATGAATTGGTGTTCGTTTAGTATCCGAGGAGGTTAAACGGATTAAACTTTGATAATTTTGTTAATTCACATGATAGTTTCCTATGACCAGAATATTTCATTGATTTTTAGAAAGATGGATCCCATGTCAAGCTTCGACATCTGTCTTGCGTTTACATTACCGCCCAGAGACAGTACATTGTAGTACAAAAGATGCGTACACCTCTAAAATAACTTTCCTTGCATTATAACCTTGCTCCTAAGTATTAAAACAAAATTAGAATTTGTACTTTTTTAACTTAATATCTGTAAAGAAAACATGTGTACTCTAAACTCCCAAAACTGAAGACAGGGTATCGTTATTAAAACCATGTTTTTAAAATACCTGGGTTTCATAAATGAGGTTAGGCAGTTTTGTGAATTTCAATATTTTTGTAATGAAATATTATTTAATTCAGTTTTTTTTTATATTCTCAATATTTTTCGAATCTTTTAAAAGAAAAAAAAAGTTTCGACCCCATAAAGGAAAAAGGGAGTTTCTTTCAACAATATTTTTTTATTTCGGGCTCTGCTGATCTTTTTTACAACAACACTGAGTTAATTATAAAAAAAGAAAACATGTAATTACTATTTAAACTATTCTCCAAATTGAAAAACAGAACAAAGAATAAAGTAAAATTTTTTTACTTTCATACCTTGTAATATATATTTTTAAAGAATGTTGTTTATTTTAAATTTGTGTCAATTCATTCAGAGATGGAGGGTAGGTATCCACCTGCCAGCCTACCTAGCTAGAGTGTACAATTACTAGAAATTCAAGGCGCTTCGTGCCCTTCTTTCTAGCCTTAGAGGGCGCTTCGCGCCCATCTTCTAAATTAATTGTGAACATGTTCTCTTTGTGTAAATCGTAAAACAAAACAAAAATAATTCGCGGATTTTCACAAAAAATTTCGTGGATTTTCAAAATTTTAAAAAATTTAATGACGATCAAATTTTGATTGAGACAAATATTTAAAATTTCAATCATTCATAAACCTTCCCTGGAGTCCCTAGATGTCCAACAAAAAATTTGGGCCCGATCGGTTCAGCCGTTTTGACGTTTATTGGATACAAACAGACAGACAAACAAACAGACAGACAGACAAGCCAAATTTATATATAGAAGACAGTTTACTGATATATAGTAGTAATAGATTATAACCCAATTTACAGAACAGACAAAATGTCAGCCCGCACATTTTCCTCCAGATTCTCTTCCAAGCCCAGCCAATCTTCCTTCGAGCCAAACAATTGGATCCTCCAATCTCAGCATTGAAAGATTATGTTTCTTCGTTCTGCTCAAACAAGTTACACCTAATATGGACACATTTTATGAAAAGTGCCATTTCAAGTCACTCAGAAAAACTTTAATTTTAATTAATTGGAATATTGTGTTAAATCGTCCTAGCCCAACATATCTTCATCAAAGCACAACATCAGATGAAACTGGTTTAGTAGTTTATTTGAAATTTATTGAAAATTGATTAGCAAATAAAACCAGGGATATATATTTTAAAGGAATTGATATCCACCACTTTTTTTGGGGTGAGGAGATTAATGGGAGCGGATTGGTAAAATCTATTAATCATTATATTTTTGTGGTTTCAAGTTTGAAATTTGTTCTGAATTTATCAACTTCTACAAAATAGACAGTGAAAAATAAATCAATATTATTAAAAAATTAATCATGTTATTTCTTTCTTTATACCGGACACCTTTTCAGGAATATTGGCCCATTAATTTCAGGCATGTGATGCCACTGATGATTAGCTCGCTATCGCTCGCTGTGTGCGTAGCCCTTGCTCCAATATGGTGCACTTCACAATTCGAAGAAAACAACAAAGTAATAAAACTAAAGCATCTACAGTTGAGATACAGAGAAGATTAGCATGGCCCCTGCGCAAGGATGACACGCAAAATCGTGAAGCGTTCCACATTTTTAACTCCTCTACCACTTCAACATTGTTGTGAGATAGCTAAAAGTTTGTTTTCGTGGTTGTGTGCCCTTTTTAGTCGAGTCAAGGTGTTTTTTCTCCTGTTTGACCGGCCTGACCTAGCCTGGATCAGCTATTGCAACTTGGGTTGAAATGTTTCAAAGTTTTCAACCTAATCAACCTAAATTGCAATCCAAGTTCCAAAGCATAAAGTTACAAATCATTCGACAGCTTCTATCTCTGGGTGTGTGGCCTAATGGATAATGCCCCAGACTTCGGATCTGGGGATTGCAGGTTCGAGTCCTGTCACGCTCGTACAAATCTCTTTTTTCAATTCCAGGTCAAAACAGTCCCATGAGACTATTCTTGCAAAAGATAAGTGTACCCACGGTGGGACTCGAACCCACAATCTTCGGTTTAGGAGACCGACGCCGTATCCATTAGGCCACGCGGGCTCGTATTTTTTGAGTAGGGGGTTTCAAACTCCATTGAGGTCAGACTTTTAAGAACCTACAGTGATAACCAGAAAACTCTGGAATAATAAGACAACTTTGAGAATCAAGTTGTATACTATTTGATTTGTAACACCACCAAATACACTTAAATAACACTACATGTCATCTTGTCCATTGTTTTCTGGCTATCACTGTAGTTAAACTTGAAGAAAATGTCGTTTTTTCTCTTATCTCTTCTTTGGAACGATACAGAGAAGATTAGCATGGCCCCTGCGCAAGGATGACACGCAAAATCGTGAAGCGTTCCATCAAGGTGTTTTTTCTCCTGTTTGACCGGCCTGACCTAGCCTGGATCAGCTATTTCAACTTGGGTTGAAATGTTTCAAACTTTTCAACCTATGGAGGAATCGGCCTCATTCTCTGATTAACAAGTCGGGCATTAGGTAGTAAATCAATTTTAAACGTTTCCCAGGAAGTTTTGCCCACTTTACAGTCCTCAGTGGTAAAAATATCCTGATTATCGTCTATAATTGAATACAACATTTGTCTAAAATTGGCATTTTCGTTTAAAATTTTATTTTCATTCAATTTTAAATCTGCCCAGATTTTCTCTGTGACCGCAGGATCCTTCACCTCCTTCTTTATAACATTTACCTTTGGTTTAGATTTAGATTCATAAAGCATAGAGCCATGACTGATTAATTAATTGGGTGAAATAATAATATCTTGGTCGCTCAAATTGATGTACATAACTACAAGTGACTTATCTTTATGTTGAGTTTTATGCTTGTACACTGCTGGCAGAGCACCATCAAGGAGTTCATCATCAAGAGGTTGTACATTAATCAGTGAAGCTGGGTTTACAGGTACTTTCACCTCCACTGCCTGTGTTGTTTTCTTAGGAACCATTACAAAATGTTTTGATGTTAAGAGCAGTACAGGAGCACCTCTGTCAGCAATAGCAAAATCTTGGGAAGTACCCTACAATCTCTCATGTAGTGGGCTGCTCCACACTTGAAACAGACTGGAGATTTCGACGGAGGTTGCTGAACTGCATTAACATTCGCTTCAGGGTTGTTTACTCGTACTCTCTGCGAAAACTGCAAAACTGAATCACAAAGGGTATTCCATTGGAACGGGAGAACTATGACGATAGATGCAGTGAGTTTAGCCAGGTCTGAGGATTGGAGACCTTCGCAGATTTTCTTCAGCAGGAGGGAGGCTTGCGACATTGACCAGTTGGAGGAGGGGCCGAAGGCCTCCTCAGCGACATCACGAACTCTCTGTAAAAACCCTTGAACTGATTCTGCATTGTTCTGAAGAAGTCCTTTGTAGATTTGCATAGTTGCATCGTCTCTCGCGTTTGGGGAATGCACTACCGCCGTTATCAGTTGTAGTAAGTCGAGGTAGGAGTAGGAGTCATTTTTTGCTTTATCTCCTAGATCTAGGGCTATTAGGCGTTGCTTCAAACTTGCAGAGCAACTGTTATATACAATCGCGATCCTACCAATTCTGCTGGATATAAAAAACTTGTCGAAAACGTCTGCAAAGTGGATCGACCAGAACCTGATGGATTTGGTTGCAAAGTCTTGCTGCTTGATATTCTCAACGACCCTCGAAATAATTTTGGACTCGCTCTCTGTAAGTTGACTCCAGGGCATGGGAGCAGGTTCGTCGAGTATAGCCGGAGTTGTCTTGAGTAGTTTTTGAACTTGAGATTTGTCATCCTCCCTCCCTTGGATAATTTGAACCTCAGTCGAGAGTGTGGTCGTGAGGGACTTCTTTATGGCTTCATCAATATTCGGCAATTGACCAACAGCATTCTCGAATTGCTCGATTTGCTCTGCTAACGGGTTTCTTGATGCAGGGAGAAAAACCTCCCGCAACCAACCCAAAAACCAATCAGGCTTAGCTCCCGGTCCCCTCTGCTCAGGGGCGTCGTTATCCATCCTAAATAAAAATAATGACGCATAAGCTGACAATTACGAGGGTTTTAAAAGACATTTTGTCCGTCGTGAATCCTAACATGTTAGCTTAACTCGCGTCAAAATAACTACAATGTCCGTCGAAATAAAACATGAAAGCTTGATAAAAATATTTCGCCATACTTGGAAAGTAATTTAACGTGTGAAAATGTACCTTTATCAACGATAAATGTTCACAATTTGAAAAATAACAGGTAACTGTGCTGTATGATAAGTAGGCGTCTATTTTTAATGCCGTGGTTTGCGCAAGCTTACCGATAGTACTCTAGCTTTCAGTAGGGTTACCCGAAACACTAGAGGACTACTTTCGCAGAATATTAAAAGAAACTAGTGTTGCATATTAGGGCTTCCAATTATTTGAGCTTGTCACCATATTGTATATGAATAAAAATCAATAAGCAATGCACTAAGTTTCTCAAATATTCCACGATTCGGTTTTTCTTACAATATATTTATATACAAAGATACAAAAAATACAAACTTTAAATTGAACGATACTTATACGAACTAAATAATACGAATCAAATCAGTTTCATCAAATAGGGGAATTCTTCAAGAGAACCTAACAAATAGGGAGCTGGTCTTCAACTGCCTTTTTTCCCTATATTTCGCTCCACCCTTAGTTTGCATTCTGCCCCACGCACCCGGTGAGCTGCCGGCTAACCCCACCAGCTCCCGGGCTTGGAGATAACGGATTTCTCCGCGTGGCTTGGGTTAAATATAGAAACCAAACATAAACAAGATTTATCCGTTAGCTTGGAGAAATGGGGAGGGGAAACAAAATGGGGTAGAATGCAGACAAAGGGTGAATAACAACAACAATAATAATGATACTAAAAATGCTATTTACAGTCGCAGGAAAGATCATAACAACATTTTCCTGCTACAGTATAACCCATGAAATTAATATGATAACCCACAAACAAACGCTGTTCATTTGAATATCCAAGCCTAGCCTACCTTTGTGGTCCTTATTTGGACTGTACTGCTAATTAACAATTTCTTAAGCAGTATACCTGATATGTATAATGTATGTCATAAATATCATAACTGTTAGTGTCAACAGCTTGTTTTTAAGGTTCTCTTTGTATCAAAAGATTTATTGCCGTATTAAAATGTATAGTAAAGAATTACTAATGGAAATATATTTTGTATGACCTTGGATACTGTTAGTAACTCCTTAATAATTATAAAACAGAAAAAAATTTTTTTATCATATATGTAACTCTATATACCTTTTTGTATCCCTCAGTTTGATATTTGTGGCTTCTTTTCCTTGCCTCTCCCGTTTCCAATGGTACTTCCACCATTTTTTACTAAATATAATTAATTTGAATGATAGTGTTAAGTATCTAATTAGTTCCTTTATATTGTATAATCAATTCACAACTGCTTCATAAAAATTTAGCAACCAGTCATTCCTTTAAATCTAAGACTTATAAAATTTTAACCAATGTGAGATGTCTAAAACATGCTTATTAAATTGTTTACTATTTTTTGTTTTCNATCGTGAAGCGTTCCACATTTTTAACTCCTCTACCACTTCAACATTGTTGTGAGATAGCTAAAAGTTTGTTTTCGTGGTTGTGTGCCCTTTTTAGTCGAGTCAAGGTGTTTTTTCTCCTGTTTGACCGGCCTGACCTAGCCTGGATCAGCTATTGCAACTTGGGTTGAAATGTTTCAAACTTTTGAACCTAATCAACCTAAATTGCAATCAAAGTTCAAAGCATAAAGTTACAAATCATTCGACAGCTTCTATCTCTGGGTGTGTGGCCTAATGAATAAGGCACCAGACATCGGATCTGGGGATTGCAGATTCGAGTCCTGTCCCGCTCGTTCAAACCTCTTTTTTTCAATTACAGGTCAAAACAGTCCCATGAGACTTTTTTGCAAAAGATAATTGTACCCACAGTGGGACTTTTTTTTTATCTTTTATTAATAAAAATGTGGAACGCTTCACGATTTTGCGTGTCATCCTTGCACAGGGGCCATGCTAATCTTCTCTGTATCGTTCCAATTTTAGTTTTTAAATGTGGAACGCTTCACGATTTTGCGTGTCATCCTTGCGCAGGGGCCATGCTAATCTTCTCTGTATCGTTCCAATTTTAGTTTATGTACTGCCGAAGCAAGTACAAAATGTGGAACGCTTCACGATTTTGCGTGTCATCCTTGTGCAGGGGCCATGCTAATCTTCTCTGTATCGTTCCAATTTTAGTTTTTTAAACTTGAAGAAAATGTCGTTTTTTCTCTTATCTCATCTTTATTACTCCTGACTTAGACACCCACAGTCATTTAACCCACCAAAGCATAAGTTCTTAAAAACCACGCTAGATAATATACTTGCTTCGGCAGTACATATACTAAAATGGGAACGATACAGAGAAGATTAGCATGGCCCATGCGCAAGGATGACACATAAAATCGTGAAGCGTTACACATTTTTAACTCCTCTACCACTTCAATATTGTTGTGAGATAGCTAAAAGTTAGTTTTCGTGGTTGTGTGCCCTTTTTAGTCGAGTCAATGTGTTTTTTTTCCTGTTTGACCGGCCTGACCTAGCCCGGATCAGCTATTGCAACTTGGGTTGAAATGTTTCAAACTTTTCAACCTAATCAACCTAAATTGCAATCCAAGTTCCAAAGCATAAAGTTACAAATCATTCAACAGCTTCTATCTCTGGGTGTGTGGCCTAATGGATAAGGCACCAGACTTCGGATCTGGGGATTGCAGGTTCAAGTCATGTCACGCTCGTTCAAATCTCTTTTTTCAATTCCAGGTCAAAACAGTCCCATGAGACTTTTTTGCAAAAGATAATTGTACCCACGGTGGGACTCGAACCCACAATCTTCGGTTTAGGAGACCGACGTCATATCCATTAGGCCACGCGGGCTCGTACTTTTAAGAACCTACAGAAAAGAGAAAAAATATGCAAAATTATGCACAAATAGAAAACATTGATTTTTACTCATTACATAACAAATTTATCATTTCAGTTATTACGTAATCATCGAATCCTTCAACATATAAATTATTCATTCTTGTATTTAAAAGTTCTTGTAAAACCGGAACTTTCCATTCATGTTCCAATGGGACATCAAAATATTTCATTTGTTTCTTAACTAACATTTTACTAAGATCCGACTGGTGTTTTAGGAAGTGAAATGGTAAATATGGGAAAAAACATAAGTTGGTTTTATTTATCAAAGATAAACTCAATATGCTGAAATATAATATTCTTTCTTTATAGTTAACGCCAGAGGCGTATTCAGGGGGGCTATTGGGGCTAAGCCCCACCCTGGACCAGTGAAATCTATTGATTTCAGGGGGTTTTCATGCCCAAACGGGTGCTGAGACCCCCCCCTGGACAAATTCATGGCACCTGGTTAACGCCTTTTTTTGACCGATTATATCCACCCATGATTCTGCTAACTTCATTATCCTGTTGGACAATTAACTAAAATGTTTTCGTAGGCCTAATATATTAAGCTTATATAAAGGGTTACCAACAAAGGATGAGACTTCAGAGACGACTGTACGAAGTTTATACAGTCTGTTTCCTCATTTATGATTACCCATATCAGGGTCATTTCATTAGACAAAGAACCTAATCCACCATGTTTGAAGACTTCATACTAGCCAAAAAACTTAACTTAACCTTAGGATCGTCATATCTTTACAGTTTTAGGTCGTTTTTATAGCCTCATCTTTTGTGGGTAACCCTGTATATAATTATAATATTTTTTATTGACAAATGACAATGGAACTATAATAATGAAAGACTGTTAAAAATAATAAATACATGTAATTGTTCTCTCTCCAATGTAAAATAAAAAAAAATATTAAATTAAACAATAAAATATTTAGCTAAGCCTTAAAAATTGTAATTAAATCCTATCAAAATTGTGATTATGATGAAAAGAAATTAGCAAGCATTTAGTTAAAAAGTTTTCACATATTAGTATAGTCCATTTAACACGATTTATAGCATGTCACAAATGGAATTTTTTATTAAATTTTTTTACATCTACATTTTTTGTTAAATGAGAAATTTTTGTAAAATAAAAATGTAAATATAAATATATATCTTTTACAAAAAAACAGGACAACTTTTTGTATGGATTTTAGGCATAAAAAAAAAATATGAACCCAGCTTTGACAGGAGTTTTCCAAAAAAAAGTCAAACCACCTAACTTAAAATCAAACCAGGATAAGAACATTCCCGTGGTTCTACCGGGTTCCACAGTCAAAATTTGAGGTAAATCGGTCCGAGGGGCTAATGAATTATGATCAGAAACAGAAAAAAAATACAGAAAAAAAATATATCGATAAAAATTTGATCAATCTATGATTTTAGAAATGTTGAAGATATAAATTAAGATATTACATTTCTAATGTAATAATATTCTTCTAAAAAAACTTTGCTGTTTAAGAAAAAAAAACTACGAACTTTATAAACACGGTCGTTTTTGGAAAAGCGATCGTTTTTGAAAAAAAATTACATGCAACTTTATTGAATGTCGTCTTACATGAAGTTAAAAAGTTGTGGGGGAGCTAAAACATCTTGATATTTTCTTAAAAACTACTATTTTAATCTCTGTATCTTTCCAACCCAATCTCATAGAAATTAAATATTCTTAAATATCATTTATATTAGATCAAGTAATCTAAGTTTGAAATTTTAAAGGTTTACACCATCAGGATGCAAAGTTATGGAATTAGAAAATTTGAGTTTGTGGAAATGACTAGAATTCTTTCATATAAAATCAATCTTTCTTCAGAACTCACATTATTATTCTTATAAATTAGATAAATAAATATGCATGCAGGACAGGACTGTACAACCTGCAATCTTTATATCAGGGATATAATGCCCTGACCATTAGAGGCTCAAATTGATAAAAAAAAATTTCGACATTTGGCATTTGTAAAAATAATTTTGTTTCTACATAATTCAGTAATCTTGGTTGAATTAAAATTTAACTAACTCTATATTTTCATCTCTTTTGAATATTTTTTGATATTTTTTAATTAGTAAAACATAATTTCTGAGAATTTTGGCCAACATGATTTGTTTTTCTTTTTAGATAACAAATAATAAGTTTTTTTTACCTTTCAATAAACTTTATTGAGGCACATAAATCTGTGGAAAAGAACAACAACGTCAAAGAAATCTTCATATTTGATGTTATTACAAATTTAACAATTCTTCCAGTATCTCAGAGTTCAACTTGTCAAGTAAAATGCCATGCCATGTTTTCATGTTCATTAGAATATTCAAGATCATGAGTCAGTTCTCTCACTATTCCATTTGTTGAACCTTTCACTGTATAACTGAATATGAAGATTTTTAAAAATGCGCAATATTTGTAAAAAATCTAAAATATTCAGAAATCAAGAGGTTTCACAAAAACTTTCAAAGGAACTGAGTCTTTGCCACAAACTAAAATTTTCTAATTCCTATATCTTTGCAATCTGACGGTGTACACCTTTAATACCCCTCCTCTTTGAATGCAGGCACGATGTACATATCATGAGTTTCACTAAAATATTTCTTTAGTTAGTTATTATTAGCAGTATTTGAAATTAATGTGGCTAGGAACAGGATTACTGGGGTGGCCCCCTACTATGCAATGTACGGTCGAAACCCCAAAGTCCCTTTAGACATAGTCTTCCCAGATAATCATATGCAGGGTGCCTTAAGCTGGACTAACTTTGTGCTAAATTTATCTAAACATTTTGATGATTTACATGAAGAAATGATGAAACATGAGCAATTATGTATACCAGTGTCTACAGAAATTAAGGTACCCCGGGGAAGTACAAATATATCTCTTGGAGACATAGTGTATTATATGTCCCCCAGGGGCGTAATTAATTTGTCTAAAAAACTTACTTTGAGATGGACGGGTCCCTACAGAGTGACAGGAACCCCCAATGCATCATTATCAGTAATCAACCCTATTGGTAATTGGGCTGTAAACAAACGTGAATTACATGTCCTGACCAGCAGCTGAAGAAAATTGACCCAAACTATACTAGCTTAAATAATGAGCAAATAGACTTGGATCAAATAAATGATGAAGATGATGAAGACAGTGAAGTCCAAATTTCAAGGGACAGGGACTTGTATACCCCTGATGTACAGTTAAAGGAATCTACAAGGGAATCCTTAGACTCATCAGAGGACGAAGAGGAATATTTTCCCCAGGAAATAATAAGAGTCCCCGATACACAAGAGACCCCTGGAAATATATCCCCCTGTCCCCCTTCTCAAAATGTATCTAATGAATCACTCATACTGCAGCCTAATCAGATTAAATTAGAAGTTGATGAAAGGTTACCTCAAAACGGGGCGGATGCCACTGAAACTACAGGGCAAACCCCTGTGGAGAAGAGGAAGTATAATCGCCGAGAATTACCCCCACCACGTGAAGGTTGGGAGGGAGTTCGACATGAAGCTTTCTCCAGGGCCATGAAACACTTCCAGCAGAATCTAAAAAAGAGGAATAAATAATTTTCTTCCTTTTGTTCCTTTTTGTAGATTCATATGTGTTCGATCAAAATAAACAATTGTTAAAATAAATTTAAATAATTGTAAGGTTCTGAATGAAATAAAAATACTTTGACTAATAAATTTTATGATGTGTGTGTGTAAATAAACTATGTGCATATCTAAGATAATTAGGAAAAGTTAAGAAAAGTTAGGTTGACAGACGGACATTGACTTGACGCTTTCTTTAAAATTAACATAAAATTAAGAAAATGTAGAATTCTAATTTTGTGTAATTTCAGGTGGTAATATACCCCAGAAGATGAAGAAAGCCCAAGATAACTCCATACCTATGGTTCAACAAGGAGCCAATCTGATGATGCATGCTGGAACAGGAGCAGGCAACATGATAATCCCTGAAGGATATATGTTGATTCCCCATGGTTCAGCCTGGCCTCAACCCATTTCTAGTGCCCAGTTAAACACTAATTATGGGAAGAATCATGGTAGAAACCAGCGGCGGAAAGCTCGCCGTGAGCAAGTTGCCACTAACGGAGCGAATATTAATGTGAATCAGCCCGTAGTTCAGGCATTAGCTCCACCCTCAGCTCAGCTGGTCAACAGCCCAAGAGCTGAACTGATCATGAACTCAAGCCCCTACCAGGTCCAACCAGAGATGGGCAGTGAGATGGCTGATGCAGGAGGTTATCACACTGAAGATTACGCCAGGATGAAGGCTAACAAGTTAGCTATGCGGGGAGGTAGCAACCTGCCGGCTGACGTGTTGTTGAAGGATGTTAAGAAGTTGTATCAGTACTTCTATGCCTTGTCTAGAGTGTTGGTCAGATGGTTTATTAGCCCCTGTGCTGACCGCACTTAACATAAAAGGTATTGACCAGAATATTGTACTTGACGGGCTGACTGAGAAGAAGTTACTTCATTTGAGTCCAGATGATATTGTTACCAAAATCGACAGGGTAACAAAGTCAGGAGCATACAGTACTCTACGCCACTTTCTAGAGGTACTAGATTATTACGGGACAATCTCCGCCCGAGTACCTAAGTACCAAGTACAATCCTGCTACAAGTTTGCCAATAGCAGTAATAAAGCTAGAACTGTTCTTGATGTATATCAAATGGCTTCCAGCAGCCGCTACAGGGAATCATTCAGAATGGTGTCAGCCTATGTAAGGCAGCAGCATGATCCTTTGATGAACAACCATGACATCAATGTATTGTTGAGAAACACGGGCTTGAGCCTTTATAAGTTTCGAGGCGTTGCATATGTTGAAATAAGAGCAGAGGAGGAGGCCACTGAAGAATCAGAATATCCATCAGAAAACGATCTGATAAATCTGTGCGGCCTCCCTGCTAAGGCACAAAGCCAGATCGACGAGACTATGTTCTTGCTTGAACCTCTGGTCCAGAAGGTCGATGCATAGGCTCAGGAGCAAACCCGGATGTCACAGATCATCCAAGAGCTCCACAGCATGATACAGGGCAAGGCAGCTACCCATAATGCAACCACAACCAGTGTCCCTGTCCCCTCGGACATGTTGGGACAAGCTGTTGAGCAAGCAATAGTTGTAAAGGTGGCAACACAAGGACAAGAATCGCCTGTTGCCACCATCGATCAAGTCTACCAGGACTTCGAAGAAACCATCCGCACCTGAAAAGGATCAAGTTATGTTTACTAATTAACGTAATAAACTTTAATTTCAAATATATTTTGTTTATTTAGTAGTTAATTATTGTATAACATAGTAGTTAAACACACTATATGCTGATCAGTTTATTAATTTAAAAGAAATATTTTACTGTAAACCATAGTTACGTGCTCAAATAAAATTAATATATCTGATCGGCTCAGTTGTAACATAATGCAACCCTAGTTAATAAAGCAAAATAAGCGTGCTAAGGTATTAATTGTGATGAGAATGCATTGATTCACCGGCCAACAATCGTCAGAATCAAATGTTCATATATTCACAATTAAAAAGTTGCATATATGTATATATGTATAGATACGTCTTGAAATAAAAAGAAAAAAAGAAACGATATTTTACTAATCTTATTTCAAGAAACCATTTGATTGCATACTGTGAGTTAATAAGAGGCCGATATTAAAGAAAATTAAACTTATTTAATTAAACTCTAAATTAGCCGAATCTGTAGTAAAGAAAAATTTCTTACGTTTTTAAAAAACTTGAATATTCCATATTGAGCGTAATAAGATGCCTAGCCATTACAATAAAAAAAAAATTAGTAATATAACTGTCAGCAAATTCATGATTTAGCAATATAAACAAAATAATCTCACTTACTTGCAAAATAAATTTTAAATTTAAACCGTCCATAACTCCAGTCCCTATTGCACACTTGAAGAATCCACAGCTGATTAATTATCAAAATATTTATTATAATAAAGCTGTACTGTCATTCGCCAATCGGAAAAGATAAGTAAAGTATACTGTCCCGCTATTGGCTGAATTAGATGTGACAAATTGAGGGAAATTTAAACGCAATCAGGAAAATGTTAAAGACGACATTTGTTCTAATCTGTTTATCTATAATGAAACTAACAGCCGTTAAACAGATAAGGAAAAATGACGCATTCACCTTCGTTGGGTTTGATTGTAATAAACCTACCAGACTAAATTCATATAAAAAGTCGGAATGGTGCATGCCCATGGCATTACATGAAAACCCAAAGGCTGATGTAAATATGAAAATAACAATAGTACAAAAGTTTGGATCTCAAGTAATAAAAGGAATTAAGTGTTCTAGGCGAACCTCCAAATTTTTCTTGTAATGCGGAACATAGGGCCATCAAAAATTTTTTGGACCTCTGATGATACTGGAACCAGAAAAAATGTCTGAAAATGAGTGCCATGATATGTACAACCGCAAAGCATACATCGCAAATGGTAAGACTATGAGAATTGGGTTGAACCAACAAATCCAATTCCCAGAAATTACCCACGGACGTATTTACTCAGACGAATATAACGTCTATTGTGATGGGGCAAAAATTACTATTAATGGTGAACAACATGAACGAATGTTGGAACTGAAGTCAGTCACCATAACAATGTCAGAAATTGACGTTGAAGTCTCCCCAAATAAAATTGTCGATCTTCATGGCAATGTAGAATTAGAAAAACATTGTATTGAAGATATGAAGTGTTTTATGGGGATTGATACAAAGCTGATATTGGAGAAACCAGATCGGTGTCAGTTAGCAAAGATCAGGAGTTTAACTGTCAACCAGGTCCAGTTGACCCATAAAGGGAAACATGAACCTTATTTATTTAATGAGGAACACAAGATCATCCTCAGGAAAATAGATAAGCAGTGAAGTGAAGAATGTGACTTGACATATTTCACCACTGATTATCCCGAGCTGATGATAATCCCAGACTCTCAGGAAAACATTGTCAAACTCCTGGAAATGTCAACACATGCTGATAGTATAAATGTTGACCTGGAACTGTGGATTAGCGAAGAGTTCCTTCATTTCCAAATGGAGAAGATGATACAATCCACCTATGTACACAACAACACCTATGTACACTTGGGACAAACTCACTTCATCAATTGGAGCGGAGCCCTATTCACCCAAATGCATTAATTAGGGACCGGGGAGATATCATCCAAGAGATGCAGTGCAGGACTGTAGAGGTCACCTCCAGTCCTGGTTATCAAAGACATGACAAGTGTTCAAAAGAATATTTGCCAGTATACCTGGGTGAGGAACCTGTCTACCTTGATACGTCTAGATTGATCACAAGACAACCAATCCTTGATCTATTAGACTGTGACGAAGTGTTCCCACCCATATTCGAAACCACCAACGGACAACTGGTCCAGGCTGCTCCTTCAGTTCAACCTATTGTGCTTCAGCTATCTAAACCTGAACAGCTAGGATATCATGTGGATGAACTGGAGCATGTAGAAGAGACAGACAGCCTGCTATACACTCTCAAAGAGTGGCAGGCTTATATGGAACTCTTCCATGCAAAGAGGAGCAGCAAAGCTGTCACATATGCACTTACAGCCCAATATTGTGCCAACTCTGGCTCTTGTGGCGAATACCAACCCACTGGAACCATAGGGTTTGAAATTGACAGCCAGGTTCAGAGCGCCAGTAAGATACTAGACTGGCAATCCTACCTGTGGGATGTCCTGGATACTTGGGGACACTACGCCAGTTTCATAGTAATCTTATACTTGATGGGAAAGCTCATATATGTGCTGGTGAGCATAGTAGTGACCCGTAAAAAAGGAACCTCGTGGGTTACTGCTATAAGACTTAACACGTCCTTACTAGCTGAATTCAGGAATAACCTGATTCAAACTCTTAAGGAACCAGAAAGGAGAAATGATATGACCTCCCCTCCTGGTATCGAGTTAGAAGAGTTCAATTAGCTCCAACATCTCTTATGATGATAGTAACCTAATTATGACAGGCTACCTATGCATCAGGGGGATCTTGTTTTATCCTAGGCTGATCCCAATAAGGGTGAACAGTCCCTTAGATACAACAGGATGTGAGAACAGTACCACCCGAACCTTAGAAGAGAAGACACACATATACAGCCGTCAGTCTTCCACTATTGTTTTGGGCCTCGTACTACCAGCACAGCTTACAGAGAGCTTCTACAAATATGAGCAATGATGACCAGATGATGATGAACCCAGCACACGGATTGGCACCAGATGATGGACATGAGGAGGACTTGACTGCAGGAAGACAGGAGGAGACGGTGAAGGAGATGTAGGACTTCCTTGGTGAGATATCGGAACAGATCCGAGCATTCAAGGACGCCATGCAGGGAAGCGCAAGCTCTCATCGACCACCAGTGGTCCCCAACAATAAACTGTGGGACACGGGGTTGGCTTGGGAAAGAGAGTTTGATCTCTATCCAGATGCAAGTAGAGATGATATTATATCCCGCTTGTATAACCAGGTCTGGGACCTGCTCCAGAAGATGAAGGAGCGTGTCATCCAACGAACCTGGAAAACAGAGGATCAAGAAATAGTTGAAGGATTGATCAACATAATGATCCTATCTGTACTTACTAATATATCAACTGATAAGATCCTCAAGGATCGAGTTGACAATGATGCTGTATAAATGACCATGATTCACTTGTAGTAATTATACTGTCATAGTACATAATTTAATGATATACAACTGTAATGTATAATGACTGCTAAATAAATACCTGTATGAAATGTTTAATAGAGAGAGAGGGTGTTATTAGGTTGCAATGATTATGAGTAATATTAGAGTGGATTCGAAATGTAGAATTAGCTTGATGTATGAAAGTATCAGGTTACAAAGATAGTGCATTACATAAAGGTCCAATCAGATAGAATGAGTAGACCCAGTGTGTATCATTATCTATAAAAGTAACTGAGTTTGATTCATTGCTCTAAGATGATATATTGTGAAAATACAACAACACAATACTAGTTCATGTAAATTAATAAAAATAAAAATAATTTTATTATTAATTTATTTTGAACATATTAGAGATGGGACAGAATTTAAACAAATTTCTCATGAATAAAAATATGCCTCCAGAGAGGTATAAACTCTCTGCCTCTGGTTTACAAGACCAGCGCTCTGCCACTGAGCTATGGAGGCTGTTATATTATTTAAGTAATAGTAACGCTTAGCTATAGTAAAAAATAAAATTATTGCAACATGCATGAATTTCAATTAATTTGCAGCTGAATGTGTAAAGAAAAAACTAAAGATAATAAAACAAAATTAATTTAAAAAAACATTAATTAAGAAAAAAATATGAAAGTATTTAATTTTGATAAATTACATTTGTTTAATCTACATATGCATGAGAGGCTAAATTACCCCCCTCTGTAGCATTTTTTAGAGACTTCAATGAAAAGTAAGTATTGATTCAAAATCCCATTCATCATTGAGATAAATCATTGAGATAAATGCATAAATTTTTTGATTTTATTTTTAAAATATTTTTAAACCATAAAGAACATATCACCAGAATTTGTGCAGAAAATGTTATAGAATGCAAGAAAAAATCTGTTATAAATAGACTAAATAATGAATATATTATTAATAATAATAATTTAATTAATTTATTCTGATTGCTTTTGTGATTAGAATATTTTGAAAATATATAGAAAATTAAACTTTGTACAAAATAGTTTAAAAAGTTAATTTGTAAGAAAATGTAATATTAATAGGTTTGCGTAAGTATAATTATTTTAATTTTACACTCCACTAGAAAACATGAATACGAGCATGCTAGGACTTAATATAATAATTGTGTTACGAAATAAAACATTTCAACTTTGGTCGCAATCCAATATTATATAAAATAAGTTTAAACAAAATATATAACATCTCTTCATAAACATTTTATAAATTTTTTGGAGTTTTTTTTTAGTATTTCCTCATCTAATACTTTATTTTTAATTGTTGTCCGCTAAAATACTGTCATATCACTCATTTATTTTAGGGAGCTTCGCATCCCTCTCTTGTAGTATTTTAGTTTTTATAATGTTACTTTACCTTTTTACATTTTTCATTAACATTATAAACACATGATCCAGACTGTTCTGAAAAGTTGCAATAATTAAAAGACTGTGTTGGCTTTAAAATGTCGCATTGCCTTGTCCTTTGATTTTACTCTGCTAACTCGTCTACTCTTTTTTTTAGCCTTAGACGTATATATTGTACATTTTAAATGAATATGATTATGAATATGAATATGAATATGAATATGAATATGAATATGAATATGAATATGAATATGAATATGAATATGAATATGAATATGAATATGAATATGAAAATGATTATGAATGTCGCAGAGCATGAGTTATGCTATGATTGCTTGAATTTTTTAAGACGGGGTCGACTTCAGAGTGTCCCAAGGCCTTGATTTTGCCTTACTCTAACTCGCTTTTACTTGTGCCCGAGACGTGTAATTTTTTGAACCATAAAGTACTTGTTTTTGGCTTCAGTTTTCCATGAGTAATTGGCAAAATTCTCAACGATTTCTGCGTTAGAGCTTGCAATCTAGGGATCACTGTAAATAATAATATCAATTTAAGATTTTGTGGATTTTGGGTTCATTGATAAAATACAAAAGTTCAATTTTCTGGGGGTCATAAAAATTTGGCCTGATCGGTTCAGCCGTCTCAACGTTGATTGGGAACAAACAGAGTAGCTAAAAACGGAGATTTTCATTGATAAAAGACCAAGTATTTATGAACAAATAAATAAAACTGAATCAAAAAGAAAACTTGCTGGAGATTACTTGAGATTTCTTTTAATTTCAATATCGAATGTTTATTAAACTTAACATAAATGAAATAGTATTTAATTTTAATAAATATAAACAAATGAATCAAGTTTACCGGTAAAGATTTAATAGTTTCATGGAGCAAAATCTTGAAGAAGAAAAAAACTTGTTCAGATAAGATCTGAAAATTTTATAGCATTATTATTAATGTGCAGTGGAATGCATGATGTAGAGAAGAGTGCACCTTTATAATAATATTTCATTTCAAATAAAAGCCGTTTACTACATGATAGCATCATTTTTAGGTTGAATTTTACAATCAATTCATACAAATTTTTTGCAAAATTAAAATAACGTGATTTATTTAAGGTTTTAACAGAGTGGTATGTGCACAATCGTAACAGTTGTGTAAGTCACTATATAACTAATCTGTGTGCATACATAATAAAACATCTTTAATAAACAACTCAAGAAAAACTGTGTATTTTAGAAAAATGTTAATAAAACTGACGTTTAGGACTAACTTGGTTTGCGAAAATTTATCAAATAAGTTTGTTATTAAATAGCAAGGATTAAAAGCAAGGTAGTTCAAATCATTTACCTGAAAATCTAAATTTAACATTTTAATGGAATAACAATCCAATACCCTTTAAAATAAAAATTTTAACCCACACAATATTCAAAAACTTTTTTAATTTATCAAAATCTGCTATTTCAATTTTTGTTAAATATCAAAAGAAATGGAGTTCTTGTCACAAGCTTAAATTCCGATATCTTTGCAACTTGATGAAGTTAACCTTTGATATTTCAAACTTAGACTATTTGATCAAACAGAATTCATAGTTTGAAATATCAGATGTCAACAACGTCAGGTTGAAAAGATATAAAGATTTAAAAACAAGAGTTTGTGGAAAGAACTCAGTTCTTAGACAATTTTGATCTGTGGGTAAGGCAGATTATCCACAACAGTAACACCTCCTTTTCCCAATGCTGACCCTCTAAGATGAAGCCGACCTCTACCTCGTTTTCGTCCACGACCCCGACCCTTTCCTTAAGCACATAGTTGTTTTTATCAGTGACCACTCTCTTCCCTTCCTTCCCCAAACACATCAATTATGACCTTTTTTCTTCGCTTACCACAAATTATGGGCAATACTGGTTTGAACAAGCTTGAAACTCTTTTTTTTTTGGTTTGCTACCCAGCAAAGCATAAATATGGGTAATTGTTCATCATTTTCCCTTTACTGGATGCCTCTTGAAAGTCTTCAATCTGATTTGAGATCAAAAATTTGTAGTTCTAACAAATCAAGGTTTATTTTTATCTTTGAAAGTTCACCAAAAGATCTACTCGTAGAACGAGAAGCATCAGGACAGCTACAAGAAGCTTAAAAAATGGTACTATATGAATCAGAAGTTCTACTAGAACCATCAGGACTGCTAATAGAAACACCAAAATGGCAAACAGAACCCTAAAAACTACTGCCAGAATTTTCAGGACTGATAATACACTGTAAAATTGAGACATGAAATCTTTTAAATATTAAATTCCATTTTTTTGTAAATGCTATTACTTTTTGTTTAATAATTTCTTCCTAAAAATACATTCTTTTAAAATTCAAATTTATTTTTATCAAGTTTTTTAAAAGCAATTACAAATCCAAATATATATACATTAAATTTTTTTAATATTTTTGATTCTTGACAGATAATAAAAATCTACTGGATTCATTATTTTTTAATTTAAGAATATTTTGATTAGAAACAAAACCAAAAAATATCTAAAATTGAATATTTTAAGCTCTAAATTGTATAAAATAATAGTATATAGATTTTTAACAAAGACAACTCTTAATTTCCAGAGAGCCGCTTCTGCGCAAGGGCAAACCCAACTGTCAGTCTAACATCTCAATCCAATATGGCGTCATAGCGGGTAAAATGAAAATCATGATAAAGTGAGCTTATAAATATTACCTTAAAAACTTAAACCTGTGATATATATTTGAGAGAAGTAACAATGTTTTTGTGAATATTTTCTAGTATATAATCGTAGTAGGGGGCAGGGAGTAGGAAGGCAGGGAATAGGAGGGTAGGGAATAGGGGGCATTGAGTAGGAGGGCAGGGAGTAGGGGGGCAGGGAGTAGGGGAGCAGGGAGTAGGAGGGCAGGGAGTAGGAGTGTGGGGAGTAGGAGGGCAGGGAGTAGGAGGGCTGGGAGTAGGAGGGCAGGGAGTAGGAGGGANAAACGTGTATCCGGGGGCATGGAGTAGGAAGGCAAGGATTAGGGTAGCAGGGAGTAGGAGGGCAGGGAGTAGGGGGCAGGGGAGCAGGTAGAGGAGGGCAGGGAGTAGGAAGGTAGGGATTTGGGTAGCATGGAGTAGGAGGGCAGGGAGTAGGAGGGCAAGGAGCAGGAGGGCAGGTAGTAGGGTTTCCAGTTGTAATTATGTTACACGTAACACTTTCTTTCACTTATACAGAGGAGCATTATGCAAAATTACTTGTTAATTACTTTTACAAAAGAAAATCTAGTTTTGCATAATTAAGGTGTAATTACGCAAAATTACGTAATACAAAACCATTCCATAATTAGTACATAGTGGGGAAATATGTGTAAGGATATGTGCGCTACAAGAAGTTCCAATCTGATTGAATAATTTAAATACTTTAAAATTGCACCATTTTGCGAATTTACTTTTGTAGAAATTACGCAAAATTAAGGCGTAATTTTGTGAAATTGAAGTTTCCCCAATTACGCATAATTATTACAATATTTTGCGAAATTACCTTGTAGAAATTATGGTTTAATTTAGCGAAACCAATGTTTTGTTGATAACGTATTATCATTATAAAATTTTGCGAAATTACCTTGTAGAAATTTCGCAATATTTTGCATAAGTGAATAATATATTACGTTGGAAACCCTAGCTGGGAGTAGGAGGGAAGGGAGTAGGAGGGCAGGGAGTAGGAGGGCAAGGAGTAGGAGGGCAGGGAGTAGGAGGGCAGGAGGGACAGTGGAAATCTTGTTAAATCTTTAGTTTCTGTATCTAATATTTAATGAATAAATATTAATGAAATATATTGTAATTAATTCCCAGTTAGTGAGTTTTGATTCATTTTAGAAGAAAATTTTCATATTTTAAAGTAATAAATTCTTTATATTTACAGAAATGTTAAAAAATTTATTCAGTTTTATTTTTATTTATATGTTGCTTGAGTCTCCTGCCAGGTTTCTCTGGTTGTGAAGATGCAATATTCTCTAGTATTTTATTCAACTATATTGAATGGGTTGTTTCTAAATTTCGCTACTAGGGTAAAGTATCACTGCACTGCACACGGCAGGCTTTGGTATTCCTAAATTTTGAATAATATATTCAATAAAGTTGTATAAAAATCACTCATAATGTAAACGCGTGATTATTTACTTAATTGATTCAGAATTTTGAATAAAAAATTTTACAAATTGTAATAATTCTATCCAATTGGATTCGATTTGATAAACAAAATTATTCAAAATTTAGATAAATTTGATATTATTGTAGGTTAATCGCCTGAATAGAAAATATTGAATAAAATATACAATATAAAGTTTTACAGTGTAGAAGCTTCAGGACTGCTATCAAAAGCATAATTACGCTTGCTTTAGCTTCAAATTCAACTTTTTTGGAGCTTATCTGATTATTTAAATTTTAATCAGTACCTAGGAAGCAATGCAGTTGATCTAGGGCTTTCAAACTTTACAATATACTTGATTATTATTTAGGAAAATACTTAAAATTTGAGGACCTTAATATTTACCTTTCTAAAGTTGTTGCATAAAAACATACCCTATCTGAACACTTTTATAAATACACACACAGTCATTTGTATATCCTCACCGCACATTGAAGTATTCTGAGATAAACAAGATTTATTATGTATACATATATTGGGGAACAGTCCCTTCTTTGTTTAGATCTGAGACGCTCTACCCCCTGGATAGATAATATGCTACTGGAGACTCCGCTCCTGCGCAAACTGGCAGTACCACAGAGATCATCAAGAGGATTACACCTTCAGATACTCTCTTTTGGTGTACTACTCCACTATACTGATGAACCCAAACGCTGATGCCTTTTATCCAATCTGCACCAGCTCCTCTTCCGTTCCCATTTCACCTACTCTAGAGCATCCCACCTGCCTCCCTTCCCCCTCCTTCCAGGAGAATGCTGTCTTGTATTCGGAGGTTCTTGAGGAATCTGAAGCCCAAGCCCCTGGTCCTCCTCCCTTTACCCTACATCTCTCTGATCCTAATATGTCTGTTGATACTCCTTGGGGACCTCCTGAGGAAGGGAGACCTAGTCACCCCCTCCCCCACCCCAGACTCCTGGTTCACTCTGATCCAACCTATAACAATAAGATTAGTAGTGACCTTAGATAATGTGATTTATGCTTTCCTTGTATTTACACATTTTTTATTAATAATAAGGATTATAATCTCAACTTGTTCTTTGATTTACAGATAACATATTTTTATCTTAAGTGTAGAGTGTAATGTTTAAGTCTGAATACAAAAAAGGACTTAAAGATATCTGCTGCTACAGAATACTAGAATAAACATCAATTTTCATACCTCATTTTGTTTGCCCATTTAGAAACACATAACTTCTTTGACCCCAATTTTTTTAGCTAATCCTGTTTTTCTGAAGACAAAAATATTTTTGTTGGGGTTTCTAAGCCTGAGACCATAGCTCCTGCAATGAAAATCTTAGCTAATGAGCAAAAAACTCTGAAAATTTCAATACATAATCTTTTTTAATCGCACTTATCATTTGCAAAAAAATAAAGTATGAAAAAACTTATTTTATAAAAGTTTTAGAAATAAATATACATTTTGCGCAACTCGTTAGCTGTCCAATTTTTATCTGTATGCCATTAAATGAAATAAACCAATTATTTAATAACGCACATCAAATGTATTATTATGAACTACTCTACTGCATTTATTGGAATAATTTTTATTTTTTGTTTTTAATCAAATAACGTTTTGTCTAGGTCTACGAAGATGGCTTTAGAGCTGAAAAATAAGATGAAACTCGGTAAGTTAAAGGATTATTCATATAGTGAAAATGAGCATAGCATGGCTAGTGACAGGCAATAACTTTTCTTTTATTATTTATAAAGGTTTTTGAACTCGCCTCACAAAAGTGTAATTGTAAAAGTTTTCTTATAATAAAACTATGCAAACGTGTATCCTATAAATGAAAATTAAATGAAAAATGAACCAAACAATCTATCGTTGTTGGTTCTTTGTTGCATATAAAGTGAAAATTAAATGATTAAAACGATTAAAAATAAAGTGAAAGATTAAACGATTAAAACGATTTAAAACCTAAGATCATTCAAAAATTAAAAAAAGAACTTATTGTCCATTTCTAGCTAAAAGAAACTACGTTATCTTCCAAATTATTGATTAAATTAAGATTTCATGGGTACTGTTGTGAATCAGGTATGTCCCTCTTTCAATAGAGAGTCACTTGAAATTATAAGGACAGGTCCTTTAATCAAAATAAACGTTTTAGACCCTGGGGAGGTTGGTGCAGCGGCCTGGTTGGACAGGAACCAGGCAAATATTATAGCTTCAGGTAGGGGGTAACCTTTACTAGTGGATCCCTTTATCAGTGGATCCCTTTATTAGTGGATCCCTTTATTAGTAGATTCCTTTATCAGTGGATCCCTGTATTAGTGGATCCCATTACTAGTGTATCCCTTTAAGTAGTGGATCTTTTACTAGTGGATCCCTTTACTAGTGGATCCCTTTACTAGTGGATCCTTTAACTAGTGGATCCCTTTACTAGTGGATCCTTTAACTAGTGGATCCCTTTATTAGTGGATTCCTTTATTAGTGGGTCCCTTTATTGGTGGATTCCTTTATTAGTGGATCCCTTTATTTGTGGATCCCTTTATTAGATTCCTTTATTAGTGGGTCCCTTTATTGGTGGATTCCTTTATTAGTGGATCCCTTTATTTGTGGATCCCTTTATTAGTGGGTCCCTTTATTAGTGGATCCCTTACTTAGCGGATCCCTTTACTAGTGGATCCCTTTATTAGTGGATTCCTTTACTAGTGGATCACTTTACTAGTGGATTCCTTTATCAGTTGATCCCTGTGCTAGTGGATCCCTTTACTAGTGGATCCCTTTGTTAGTGGATTCCTTTATTAGTGTATCACTTTACTAGTGGATTCCTTTATCAGTAGATCCCTGTGTTAGTGGATCCTTTTACTAGTGGATCCCTTTGTTAGTGGATTCCTTTATTAGTGGATCACTTTACTAGTGGATTCCTTTTTCAGTAGATCCCTGTGTTAGTGGATCCCTAGATTAGTGGATTTCTTTGTCAGAGGATTCCTATGTTAGTGGATCCCTTTACTAGTGGATCCCTTTATTAGTGGATTCCTTTCTTAAGGGATCACTTTACTAGTGGATTCCTTTATCAGTAGATCCTTGTGTTAGTGGATCCCTTTACTAGTCGATTCCTTTATTAGTAGATCCTTGTGTTAGTGGATCACTTTACTAGTGGATTCCTTTTTCAGTAGATCCCTGTGTTAGTGGATCCCTTTATTAGTGGATTCATTTATCAGAGGATTCCTGTGTTAGTGGATTCCTTTACTAGTGAATCCCTTTACTAGTGGATCCATTTACTTAGTGGATCCCTTTATTAGTGGATTCATTTATCAGAGGATTCCTGTGTTAGTGGATTCCTTTACTAGTGAATCCCTTTACTAGTGGATTCCTTTGTTAGTGGATCCCTTTATCAGTGGATCCATTTACTAGTGGATCCGTTTGTTATTGGTTTTTATTCCTAAATTTTTTTTAAATGGGGGGAAATATTCCCACAACCTCTACTTTTAGAGGTTTTTAAATACTTTCTCCTGAAACACTTAATTTTGTATGTTTTTGTTATATTTCATAAATAAATAATTTTTTTCTTTTTTATTTGTGAATCCCTTTTCTAGTAGATCTCTTTATTAGTGGATTACTTTGTTAGTGGATCCCTTTATTAGTGGATCTCTTTATTAGTGGATCCTTTTACTAGGTTATCCCTTTTTTAGTGGATTACTTTGTAAGTGGATTCCTTTATTAGTAGATTACTTTGTCAGTGGATCCCTTTATCAATGGAAACCAATTTGATGGATTCCTTTTTTTAAGTGGAGCTTTTTATAAGGAGCTCTGACCTTTTCCGGGGATCCCTTATTAAAGGATCTTATAATAGTGTATCTCTTTCAAGAAGTTTTTTTGTGGGATACCTTGTAAGTGGATCTATTAATAATGGAGCCCTTTTTAGAAGAACCCTTTTTATTGGATCCCTAGCTAGTGAGCTTCTTTTTAACAAACCTCTGTTATTGCCCCCTTTTTAGTGGATCCATTTAAGTCGACGATCCTATTTTGGTTGATCCGAATTTAGTCGTTAAATTGATTGTTATCTTAAATATAAAAGATCCTTTAAGCATTATCTGATGGCAGATAGTTTGTTTTTTCTCAATCAAGATTTCTATAATATTATTATTATATTTCATTATAGATTATTAATTATAAATTTATCATAGATACTTAGATCAAGGTTTACAGGGTACCGTTGTAAAATGTCCATCTAAGAGAACACTAAATGGAGCCCCACTTGGAGTTTTTATGTCGAATACTAAATTACAACCCAATTTATTAGTTTTCGTTCATAGTTTGATATTGCTCTATTGTAAGACTATTAATAAATTACTGTTAAATTTGATTTAACGGATTTTTTAATTCAGGAGTTATGAAAGGAGATTGCTCACCACTTAAAATTATCGCCATCAATAAGGTTTAGCTTTAAGTTTGCTATTTCAAACTTGAGTTGCATCAGAGTTTATTTATTTGCTATTTCAAGCTTGAGTTACATCAGAATGTATTAATTTGCTATTTCAAACTTGATTTGCAGTAAAGTTTATTAATTTGCTATTTCAAACTTGAGTTGCATCAGAGTTTATTAATTTGCTATTTCAAACTTAAGTTGCATCAGAGTTTACTAATTTGCTATTTCAAACTTGAGTTACATCAGAGTTTATTAATTTGCTATTTCAAACTTAAATTGCATCAGAGTTAATTTTTTTGTAATTTTCATCTTTATTGTGCATCAGAGTTTTAAGTCTGCTATCTTCAACTTTGGTTGCATCAGAATTTATTAGTTTTGCTATCTCAAATATGATTTGCATCAGAGTTTATTAGTTTTGCTATTTTGGACTGTACTTGCATTAGAAATTATTAGTTTGCTTTTTTATATTTTAGTTTGCCTCAGAGTTAATTAGTTTACTATTTTAAACTTTGCTTGTCTCAGAGTTTATTAGTTTGCTATTTTAAACTTTGTTTGCCTCAGAGTTAATTAGTTTGATATTTTAAACTTTGCTTGTCTCAGGGTTTATTAGTTTGCTATTTTAAACTTTGTTTGTCTCAGAGTTTATTAGTTTGCTATTTTAAACTTTGCTTGTCTCAGAGTTTATTAGTTTGCTATTTTAAACTTTGTTTGTCTCAGAGTTTATTAGTTTGCTATTTGAAACTTTACTTGCAAAAAGATGATTATAATACTGATATATTTAAGACTAGATTGGGAATGTGAACCCGGCGTTGCCCAGGGGAGTCATAATTATTCCTTCTGTTTACCTGCGCTTTGTCGTAAATTACGTTTTTAGCTATATTTACCGTTAAAAGTGGATCCAATCAACTTACAATCTCAAACCCAAACTAAGAACATTCCCGTGGTTCTCCCGAGTTCCCCAATCAAAATTTGAGACAAATTGGGCTAGGGGTTCCTGAGTTATGATCGGACAGACAGTCAGACAAACACAGATTACAACTTAATAATCTAGGCTGGTATTGAAGAAGAGTGCGAGCTCCCCTGTTCAGGGACCGAATTTAAAGAATTTGAGCTACTGCCGATTCAAATTTGAACCACCGATTCATGTTAAAGATTTAGGAAAGATTTGAATGGGTGATTCAAATTTGAACCGGCGGTTGGCAGTTTAACAAACCCTCAAATTTATTAAATTTTGCCCCAGTACTGGCTAATATTGCTCCCAAGTCCGGACCTGATATAGGAATTTATCATTATTCTTCAATTCGCTTTCAAATTAAATAAGTAAATAAAAGTTTAGCATAAATTATACACTTCTTATCTCACAGTTTAAACTAGGATGATTTTTTTTATGGAATGTTTAATTATTAAAGCTGATACGAGGCTGTTTGTTTAAAAAGTAAACGAGATGCTTTAGTAGTTGTTTTATTTTAAATAATTGATAAATCTATGATTTAGAAAGAATCAGTACGGGAACAAGGTATTATAAAATTTTATTTAATCCATTATTTATAGAAAAAATTGAAAAGTCGTCATAAATTCAAGACTATACAAATAAATATTGATAAAAATCATTGATTTTTGCCAATTCTGTAAATAAAATAAAGCCTTTTTAAACAAATTTTTGCTCTGCGCAAACATACTGAACATCCGGGGGGAATTAATGTTTTCAAAGGAAAAATATACCCTTGAAATATTAAGAGGATGAAAACATTAAAGTTGAAAAATAATGACGATTACAAAATAAAGTGACCTGGGCTGATTACTAAATAAAATGCACCAAAATCAGACTGCATTCAGGGGGAATTTTTATTTTGTTTAAAAGTACATTGGTGAAATTTTTTCACTGGATTTCCCAAAACATCTTTGAAGGTCAGGGATCTTTTTATGATTGCATAACATCTCTTTCTTTCATCACCCTATCATTCATAAATTATGAAATCTTAACATTATCTTAATAATTTTGAACAAAATATTCATAATTCTGAAATAATTTTGTTAAGTTTGATATCATAAAGAAAATGGCAGTAAATTTGTGACTTGTAAGTTGTACACTTGGAATCATATTCTACTTTATACCCTTCTTCCTTTATTTTCTTCAATCCCTGAAATAATCTAAAAGTGTTACATTTGAACCCTATGTGATTAAAGTATGGTACTGAAAAAGACTTTATTTTCCACAGGTCTAATCAGAAAAAAGGCTTCAAGGATACTGTTGTAAAAGTTGTCACGAATCTTTGACTTAATATATTACTATCAAGGTTTGCTGTGAACCAATGGTTGAAATATGAGAGTAGTAATTAGAGCCCCTGGATAACAAATGACCTAATTATGTATAAGTGTTCAGTTTTAATTTTTCAATAAAATTATTTAAAATAGCAGGTGACCTTTCATATTTTATACGCCATCCAGAGGGACAAAGTAAGAAAGAAAACAGTGAAATGCTTTCGTGTGCTTTTTAACTTTTTATTATACCTCTAGTGTATGCATAAAAATGTGCTAATAACAGTTTAAGACTTATATCGACTATTTGAATTACAAGTTACAAAATCCTTTCTTAATTGAACGGAAAAAAGAAGACGACAATCATATCACTATTCTAAATCAAATAAATATTTTAAACGACTATATCGAATTGGTCACTGAATTTCCATGTTTATTGGGACACCCTGTATTATAATTCCAAATTAAATTATTTTCAGATTAAAACTAATATTCAAGTGTTTAACGTTTTTCTAGTTAGTTGTGATTTATTAAACTATACATGTGGGTCCAGTGCTTCCTGTTTTATAAAAAAAAATATTTTTAAATCGTAATATAAGGTGGAATGTTGGATGTACATCAGCCTTGCCACTGGGCTGCTTTACAGTATACATGAATTATTTTTATATTTTTATTATAAAAAAATTTAAATTTAATTTTTATTTTCAAAGCTTAATATGTTTTTTTTCTTCAAATTAACACCTTTCTTTTTTATTCTTTCCTATTATAACGCTTGGGAACTAACCACCACTACCCTAGTATGGTGTATTTTATCTGATAGTTAGTAGACGGTTTTTTTGGAGGATTTTTCTTGTCTGGTTCATTGGATCCATAATTTACCAGATTCTAAATTTAAAATAGAACTGGAATGTTTATGTATAGCAGTAACCCGTCCACAGGCTGACGATGAAAAAATCTTCTATGGCCAACTACGAAAGTAGAACATATTTATTTCAAATTAAAATAAACTGTTTGTAATTTATACATGGCGTTTAAAGTAGAAATAATGAAGAAATTATTAAAACTAAAGAACAGTAGACGGCAGAGGATCCTGATGGAGTGGTAGTGGTAGTGGATCCTGATGGAGTGGTAGTGGATCCTGATGGAGTGGTAGTGGATCCTGATGGAGTGGTAGTGGATCCTGATGGAGTGGTAGTGGATCCTGATGGAGTGGTAGTGGATCCTGATGGAGTGGTAGTGGATCCTGATGGAGTGGTAGTGGTTGTTGTACTTTCATCAAATGTGTTGACTGGTTTAAGGTATCCAAATTTGTTGAATTTCTCCATTGGACTAGCTGCTGTTAAAGCAACTGCTAAACCTAACAAAACAAACATAGCTCTCAATCCAAACATTGCTGATGATGTGTTGTCAACTGATACTAGGACCTACCCTTCTCTTTATTATATAGTCTTCTTATCTTACAATATACGTTGGATGCTTTACGTCAATACTCAGATTATTACTTTACTTCCTTCATTTTTATTCAGTGGCGTAACAAAGGCAGGGGGGGGGGTGGTATCACAGCTTTCTTTACAACCCCTTTCTGTTTTTCTGATCATTCCACCCAGCCCTTTGGTTTTTTTACGTCTGCATTGTCATGTGTTCAGTTAATAAAGAATGTAGAACTCGTTCTCAAACCGTACCGGTTATCTGATCCAGAGAAAACTGACCTAGGAGGGTTTTGACCTGAAAATGTATTGAATTTAAAAATAGGTTAGGTTTAGCTGAATTGTATAGTTGAAGTTGGATAGTGGTTAAATTTAATTATGCGGGAGAAGATTTACCATTTGGAAAAAATGTATGTGATTTTGTTATCACCGTAAAAAAGGACAAATTCAACTTATATCACAAAAACTGTAAAACTGGGGTATAGGATGACCGATGACACTGAATTCTTATTATTTTCAACACAAAATAGGTAGTTTTTAGATATTTGGGACATTAAAAAAGAGAAAAACACTTTTGCCATTCTTTATTTTTGATTTGTTAATTTAAGTGTACACCGATACATTATTAATAATCATGTATATTTTATGAAAAATGTTAATATTATGCTTGATATTTTTATTAATTACATTAAGTATATCTCTCTCTTCCTTGGTTAGATAAACATAGTTTAGCAAACGAAAAGGCAAAAAACGAAGAAGAGAACATGGAAGGTGAGGAAGGTCAAAGATTTGATGTGATTACTCATCTCCTCTTTATATTTCTCCTCAGCAACAGCAGATGCTAAATCCTTGAAATATAATTTTCATTAAACATTTGTTTATGATCGAGAAGGGGGATTGGTATTTAACTAAAGGGTGTCCCACGAAACATGACAGTTGGTAAATAGTTTATAATGTCGTCTTCCATACATTGTATTAAATATTAATGGCTTTATGCAGTTTATCTTATTTAAAAAGATTGTTAACAATAACACAAATGATAAACAGACATTTGGTGCATCTCTGGCGTTAGATGAAGATTCACCGTATACTAACTAATGTTTGTTTACATTAGATCGGCTGCCTTTGTTATTGTTGTTACGCAAAAACTAGTTCTCCAGCAGTCCTAAAACGTCACAGCAAAGTATACGGAAACCCTATTGCCCCCTCCTTGTATTCAATTCTCCTTAAAGAAAACCAAAGACAAAATTGCGAGTCCAGGGTTCAATATCTAATGTACTAAATGACACCCCAGCGAGAAAATTACTTCAAATCATTTCTATGATATATATATATTCTATATTATGTAATATATTTCCATCTGTACATACATACTTTTTCTTGTTGGTGAGATTCAGTTGTTTGACAGACAGCACTATCAAACACGCTGATTGTGATCGGTTTAACCTAGGATTAGGAATACTATTAAAGGGACTGCGTTAAAATTTCAAGTGAACTTTCATTTTTTAAAAAAGGGGGCATGCCCAATGTACAACGGTATCTGATCAATAATCGTCGACAACCTAGTTTGAAAAGAGGTCAATATCTGACAATTTCCTTCATATATCTTTTTGAGCCAGAAATGCGCAAGTCTTTTTTTATAGAGAAACCACATTTGACATAACTCTGCTTTCAAAGAGAAGATGATTGATTACTGTGAATTCTTTCTGAGATAGAAGGTACCGTTGTGTATGAAACATGTAACTCGGTAAGGATAAGGGTACAGGGAAGGGTACATACATAACAGTAAAACGGCTGGAGATGGTGGGTCTATTTTATTCTTTGAAAAATTAATTTTTTATGCTTTGCTTAGGGTATTGCACATCATTCGGTCGGAAGGTCTGTCGGTGATCTAAAAAGAAAATTGCCCTTCCTTAAACCTTATAATTGGGATATAGTCGGGTCTATATTCTACATATTTTAAAAACTGGCCTTAATGATATTCCATTGCACCTCAATACTTATAGCACTAAGTTCTGTTATAGACTAAGGTCTTTTCAGACCCCCCCCCCCCTCTCCAGCCTGGTTAGGGTCATGTACTTTTAAAATTTCAACTTTTATGATTCAAAATTAGATTTTGAATTAATAATTCAAAAATCGATTTTGAACTTAAAATTCAAAATTAGATTTTGAACTTATAATTCAAATTAGATTTTGAATTAATAATTCAAAAATCGATTTTGAACTTAAAATTCATAATTGAATTTTGAACTTATAATTCAAAATTAGATTTTGAATTAGAATATTTGGGATTGATTTCATACTTACCCTATTACCATTCAGGTGGTAAAAAAACGTATCATGTCTGAAAAAAAAGTAACTGAACATTTTTTAAACAAATTTTGATAAAAAAATCTGTGTGAATAAAAGTTTGTTACATTGCAACGGTTTGTGAAAAAAGAAAATGGAAAAAATTCCACCGACTCGGAACTATTAAAAGTGTTTGAAAAATTGTAAAATAATAAATACTTGCTCGGGACCTTGTAACCCAGTATTTGTTTGTGAACTAAACTTCAGCTATAAAAGTCTATCCCTCTCAACTTAGAATTTTTAAACCCAAGCTAAGAACATTACCGTGGTTCACCCATCAAAATTTATGACAAATCAATCAAGGGGTTCGTGAGTTATGATCGGACATCCAAACAATCAGACAAATGCAGACTTAACTACTTTATATATATATATATATATACAGGGTGAGTCAAAAAAAAGTGTGATTTGCGGCGCCTGGCGCAAAATTGTACCTTTTTCGGTGCAACTCTCCTGTATGGTGTTTTTTCAATATTTTTTGAAAATTTGTAAGTTTATTTAGTACTCCAATGGCCCAAAAAAAAATCCGCGAATCTTTTTTTCTTTCAAAATCAAAAGTTCAGAAAAGCAAAAATGTGCATTCATATTATTTCTCTCTAAATCTAAAATTTTATTAAAATTGTAATAAGAAAATTCGCAATTTTCAGTTCTGGGCTAATTTTTAAGGAAAAGTGGTTTAAGTTCTCTAGTTCCTTTCTTCTTAGTATATTCTAAAGTATTAAATATACGCTGTTCAGTTGAAACCTTAAGAATCATTGAAAAACAATTTTTCCGTAAAAGTCATTCCAGAACTGAAAATTGCGAATTTTCTAATTACAATTTTGCGAATTTTCAGAGATTCTGTGATTCAATCTTTTTATAATTTTAGATTTCGATAGAAACAATTTATTTACACATTTTTGTTTTTCTGAACTTTTGATTTTGAAAGAAAAAAAGGTTCGCGTATTTTTTTTTTTTGGACCATTGAAGTACCAAAAAAAGCACAAATTTTTTAAAATATAGTTTTATTCAACTGATCATATATTCATGATCAAAAGTTTGAGTAGTTTTCAGAACACTCCTTTAATACGTTTATAATGTTGTTTTCTACATTTTTGCATCATATTATGATTAATAAGTAATCTGATTTGATATGTCACATTAATTTTACTATATGACTCATCCAGTTTGCAGTGCTGTATGAATAGTGAAAGTACCTACTCCTTCTAAGCTTTAGAGAGAATGCTAATAGAAGTATAAAAGTGATCATTAGGGTTCCAATGGTTGGTCCGATGACAAGGCTTAACATCGCTCCTTGAAAAAAATACTTCATTTTATTAAATTCTTATTTTTTTAGTTTATATATCTTGTGGAAAAGATTTACTTACGCGACGTTCCCAGTGATAAACATCGTTTTGACGCCCTTTTTTAACATTTAATTTTTTCAGACTTTTGAGATGTATATTTTATTTCAAAATTGCATTCTTTACAAGTTTGCTTTTATTAAATAACGCAAAAGTTTTACTCTGACCAAAGCTAAGATATAAACCAAAACATTTTTTGAAAAATTATCCAAAATGAAAATTTAGAACAATTTAATAATATCCAATTCTTGAGAATATAATTTTTCAATGTGTTAATTAACTAACATTCTTAACGTAAAAGAACAGAACATTTTTGGAAATGGATTTAAAAGTAATGCTCATCTCTATATGTTACCACTTTGCCAGAATCCATGAGGTTTTTGAGGGGGAGCTTGTTTATTCAAGGATGGATCTATCGTGATCAGAAGAAGAGCAAACAGGAAACCCGAGGATACAACCAGAACACTAGTTATCACACTGTTTCTCAGATTAAACCAGGAACCCTGAAATATATTCTCTAAACTGGAAACCCGAGGATACAACTAGAACACTAGAAACCAGGAACCCTGAAATATATTCTCTAAACAGGAAACCCGAGGATACAACTAGAACACTAGAAACCAGGAACCCTGAAATATATTCCCTAAAAAGGAAACCCAAGGATGCAACTAGAACACTAGAAACCAGGAACCCTGAAGTATATTCCCTAAAAAGGAAACCCAAGGATACAACTAGAACACTAGAAACCAGGAACCCTGAAATATATATCCAAATATATACCCATGGATACAACTAGAACACTAGAAACCAGGAACCCTGAAATATATTCTCTAAACAGGAAACCCAAGGATATCAACTGTAAACACTAGAAACCAGGAACCCTGAAATATATTCTCTAAACACCTTATCACCTAAATCTGGTTCCGGAACTATAAGTTTTATTTTTACAATATTTTAATATATTTTTACATTTGCCAAGTAGCAATTATAAGACTGGGTTGACTTAGAAGTGTCGCAATGCTTTTCCTTAGATTTTACCTCACTAACTCACTTACACTTTTTTGCATATAGATATAGTAGATTTGTGCCAATCTTTTAGAAGTAATTGGCAAAATTCTCTTACTACCCCCCCCCCCCC